GTCATTTCTATATATATATTTTTGATTATTTTTTACCTAAGGTCTAAGTAATCTGGGAAGTTATTTAATCACAACAGTCCTTTCAAATTCATTTCTTAATCATATTAGATCTTACAACAGCTGTTGCATTAATTTTCAAGGTAACGGTTAATCAAATATTATCTAAGTAGCAATATAATTTCAAACAAATACAAACATGAGTAATATTTAACTCTGCACAAGCATATCCTATTTCAACTTATCAGTTACATTGTAGATAGCATTTAATACTACTCTGTTTCATGAGATTGTTATGTAATGCCTCATTTTTAGTGAATGACAATTCACCTATCAATTCTAGAAACTAATAACTATCTCCTATGCCACAAGTGCGTGTTATTTCCTCTTCGGTAATTTTTTTCTGTTTTAAATTAGCAGTATGTTTGTAAATATTCATGAACTACATTCATTTGGAATTGATATATGACTAGTCTCATTTTTATTATTATTCAACTCGATTTTTCACTGTAACCTATTATTAGAATGTAATTACAACACTTCTTATTAATCGTTGTTTTTATCAAGGTACTTACCCTTATGAATTTATTGATGCTTTTGTAGAATCAGTACTATGTTGTTTTACTTGTGGCTTCTTAGTTGAGATAATTGACTGTTACATATTGATTTAAGAATTTAAGTTGATTATAATCAAATCAATGTAACTATACATGATGTCTAGATCTAATCATAAGCAAATAAATGGCCTTTGTGTGCGAGATTAAGAAAAAATGAGTGAAAATTACGTTTGTAAATATAGAAAGCCCAAAACGCCTAAGATTGGTATGTAAAACATTTGGGGAGGAGGGTTATCACAATGTGAAAATAACAGTAAAGCACGACAGAATCTTATCTCTTATTATGCAAACTGTAAATCAATGACTAATTGTGGTGAAATTGATTGCACACTCTTAATGACTTTAGACATACTATGGATTTATTTCGTCATTTTTTCTGTCCTGAGTATAGCTATTTGTGAGTTCCGCTATGACTACTCCTACCTTTCAGGCAGCTATCTTAATGTCTTGACTGGTGGCCTGGTATGCAAGCGCTTATTGGCTGCACATAACAACCTTTCGATGGTCTAATGCGTAGGGGAATATTCAGTAAAACCTGTAATACTCTCTATCTTTCACTGATTCAGAAATTTCTATGATTAAATAGACAAATGATCAAACCCCAAGGTATCATAATTAATAAAATACAATTTGTGCCAAGAATGTGGCATTTGTTGTACATAACTGAACCAGAGCTTATAATTAATTTACAATTTGAGAACAGAAAATGATGTAACAATAGTTAGTCAGTTAAGAGCTTGTATTTAGGAAAATATCGAGATCATGTGAGTTAAGTTTTAATAATTACACATTAAATACTAAGCATACTTACAACCCTCACACACATCAAAACAATAGTCCTCACAGTTTGTCACCCATTGTTTGTCTTGGGACAAGATTAATAATTCACTGAACAATAAGAGAGCAGGTGACGTAGTAATGTTAAAATAGATTATTTTTAAATAATGACTTACTATTATCTCCAAACAGCATCTCACTAAGTTTTTAGGAAGTGTGTAAAAAGTACTTTTTAGACAATGAGTTTTTCATGTAACTATCTACTTCTATAAAAATGATTCAAAAAATACCTATTCAGCTTCAAAAAAATAAATATCTCTAGCCATATTCCTACAACAATCAGGTTGAAAAGGGAATAGTTAACTCTTGGAATTAAAATAAAGCAGAACAAACGCGGGTGCAGAGTAATATGAATTCATTGTATTTAGTGGTTTCTCACCAGCTGCTTACAACCAAATATGAATTAAAATTTTAAATTGAGGTAAGATACAGTGTAGAACAATTGACATATGTGAATGTGAAGAATTGGAATGACAAAGGTTATCGATAATAACTATAATATATGTGTGCAAGAACAAGTTAGAGGTTATTTGGTGTTAGAATCAAGAAAACATTAGGGATGGGTGACGTAATAACTGAGTGAAGTTCCGAGACAGATAAGGTAAATTATGTGATAATTTTAGAGGTAATGAAGGATTTACATAAGATTCATGGAATTAAAAAAATCTTGTAAGATGGGTTACGTAATAATTGAACAGAGAATAGAGTGAGTGGAAATGTATGAGTGAAGATGTGGTTTAAATGTACATAAAATAAGAATTTGGTAATGGAAGAGAAATATAATAAACTAAACATTAACAAAATAAAACTAATGACCAAAAAATTGGATCACCCAGGTAGTAATAGGTTTATTACTGTCTATTTTTGAATACATAGGTCAGGTTTGAGTATTTTTATAACAATCGCTTCAGCGAACCGAAGAGAAGCAGTATTTCTCTGTCTGCTAATAATTTTGAAAGCTTGAAGGATGTCAATCGTATGTTCGGTGTTAAGTAAATACCGAGCTATTGTACTGTTAGTAGCCATTGTCCCTCGTAGTCTCAATTTCCTTGGAAAATGTTCGGAAATGCGAACATGTACTCTTCTCTCGGTTCTTCCAATGTATGTGCTTTGGTACGTACATGTAAACTGATAAATCCTACTGAGAAAAGAGGACCTGTCAGTTTTAGTTTAGTTGAGCGAGCAGTTCATTTCTCCTAGCGTCGTCAGTTGTGCTGCTGGGTAGGTCACCTTCATCCCGGAATTTATCCTGTGATTAACTATTCCAGCGATTCATCTCCTTTAACCCGAGGGTTGGTTTCAGCATATTTCTGGATGAACTTCGCCGGATATGTATTTTCACGTAGGCGATTTGTAGTAGGAGCAAATTGGTACACAGAAACAGGAGCTCTTTGAATTCATGATCGCGCAAGCAAAATTTTGTGTAAAGTCGAATACAAGAACGTGTATTTACGTCACTGGGCTTCACTGTATTAATCACTCTGATAGTTGTTAAATTTATACTCGGATCATTTTCTCACCTAACTTATATGTTCAGTCTTGAGTATGCGTTAATTCATTATTTCGACTCTATAGTCTAGTTCTTACTACGTTAAGATCACAATTTTTAGTTAGAAAAATTTAATGACTGATTATAATTCAAACCTGACAATAGTTTCTTTATGCTTTCGTAGCAATAAAATACTGACAAAATATCAATAACCGTCTGAAGGATTATAAATTAAACATTTGTTATTTGTTAACTAGGATTTCTATTACGCTCAAAGTAGGTTCAAAACAGTTTCCTATATTTCTGTCTGTTAAGGTCAGTATATATATAATTGTATCGCATTGTATACAATATTTGTACTTTATATCAACACGGATTTAAAAAGCTATTAATAACTGTTTTTTGATTATTCTTTTCGATGAGCTTCTTAATAGTTTGCATTATGAATCATTTTTTAATCTGTTCTTAATCATATTAACTTGGTAACTTTGCAGTTCAGTTCAATTATATAAATCATTGTATGGTAATACAAAGATTATTTCTTGATATCAAAACTCTCTCTTTTTACTTTCATTTGTTTCATTAAACAATTGATTGTCTTTCACTGTATTGTTTAGTTATTTTGAAGTACCTGTGAGAAATGTTTGTTCTGTTACTGAGGTTTAGTGTTTCTCTTTACAACTACATCTATTCCACTATTGTGTTTTCCATCGGTTCAAATTTGAATTCAATAATCATACTGTAGTGAACGAGAACACAAGTGAGGGTCAACTGAATGTATTTCAATACAACATAACAGAATATCTTGGTAAAATTCATACAGTAAATATTTCATTTGCAAAATATCTATCAGTTGTCTCAGACTTTGTTATTCCTTCGTTTCCATACCAATCATTCTATTTTCATTCTCTCATTTTCTATTTTCTCAACCTTCTGCCGCCAGGCATCCCAATTTCAATTAGTGACACATACTACTTATATCTGTCGACAGTAGCAGACGCCACAATAATAATAATAATAATAATAATAATAATAATAATAATAATAATAACACAATGTTTACTTTTTTTGTCAGCCATCTTTATTCTACAATACGTTCTTTTCTTTACAATGTGAATTATTTTGCCTCGTTTCTATGTCTTTTTTGGAAAGATGGTCAATAATACTTCTTACCAAAACCAATGTCATTTTTTATGTGAATAACGAAAAAGCAAACAGAAATATGAAGAAACTCTGTTATATATCGATGATTATCATTATGCACTGAGCTTATAATTTATAAGAAAGTAGTGTATAAACTTTTTTAACTAAACCCTTCCTTATCACATTATTCAATAGGTTTTACTCAAATTAAGAATATAATTACTTGTGAAATGGCTTTAAAATTGAATAAAACCTACATTAGCAGTTTAGGAGTTGTGGAGATTGCTAAGTTTTTTTTATTGAGATCATGAGCCGATTGATGTTAGACCACCATTGAAAACTTGGAAGCAGTGGATGGCCCTTTCGTCCTATTGTGGGACTCCTCAGCAGTGCGCGTCCACGATCCCGTTCGCAGGATTCGAATCCAGGGCCTTCAGTCTCGTGCGCGAACGCTTAACCTAAATTCTAGCATTTTTATAAATTAATGTTTCTGTCAGCTTCCATTAAATAAATAAATAAATAGGTAGGTATGTACATCAATGGTGCATGTAATGAATAACAAGTCACTACTGTATGTGATCGCATAGTCATATTCATTATTGTTCATGAATATAGAGCCTGACAAACAGATTTAATTTGATTTAATCAAACTCACATATAGTCCGAGTCACTTCAATCTGAATATTTTTTTGAAATAACTATTCAAGATTAAAGTGATTGACAAAAATAAATAAATGAACATAAATGATTTTTCAAGTTTGATTATTGAATCTTTTTGGTAAAGTAAATTTGACAAAAAATAGACAGTTTGGAAGTAAAATGGTTGATTGAACAATATCCATATAGCTACTAATCTATATGTCATTATTTTATAAGTGGTTTATAATTTTTTTTCTTGTATGTCCTCTAAATTGTAGGTAATTTTGAAAATTTTTTCTCAAAGTGCCTAGACAACTGTAAGTGAACCTGTTTTTTTATACCAGTCTATTCTATTACTGGTTGTTCTTGAATAAAACAGTTTTGATATATGAATCAAGGGTTAACAGTATCATAGTTTGTTTCGTTTTTCTCTTCATCCCCACTTTTGTAACCTTTAGAATGTTTACACATATAAATTATTGCATGCGCTGAAACTCATACGAATTTCGTATTTTTTCTTCTGTAAAACAATGATCTGTGCCAAAATGTACAAAGAAAACATCCCACATCCTAAAAATGAGTTAATTTTTTAATGGGAAATTACATTTATCTGTTTTTTTTATTTAAAAGTAAAAGGAAGACAGAATCATTGAGTGGGCTTTGAATTCATCACTTCGACAGTAAAAAAATGATAATGAATATCGTTGTAGAAGCGTATCAACTTAATTCTGCCAATAATCGTTGTAAAACTTCTGAAGCTGTACCAAACACTGTCAGACACATACCATCAATCAACATGTTTACAGTGAACCTACAGTAAACTCTGATTTTAATTATATATACGTTTCTAGATATCATACTTTTCAAAGTTTATCATAATCTTTATTATGTAGGTATCTGTTGTACTGTTTGACTCCGACATAAATCTCATAGACATAGAGAGTTAGCTTATCCAACTATGTAGACAAACGTTAGTAACATACGTTACTACTAAATTAGTTGCAATTTTTTAATTCGAATAATAATCATTATCACAATAAATAAACTAAAAAAAGAAAACCACAACTTGCATTGACAAAAAAAATACAACTAATCAGTTCTTTCATATTTATAATTATAAAGACTTAACTGTTCAATTATTTTAAGAGGTATGTTTGACAATACTAGGTTTTGGGCATTGGTGTAATGTATGTTTAAAGCAATTTTTTGTTATGTGGATGGAGTTTTTTATCTACTCAGCATTCGTCAGCAATGTATTCCTACAATCTTGAAACAACTGGTGTTTCCTGACAGATTAAATTCTGTGTTATCCAGCCTCACTGTCTGAGACATCACTACTAAACTATTCGGACCGCGACTAACTTGCTGTAGGACTGACCTACTTACAAATAGTTGGTCACCAATTAGTGGCCGATGTTATATTTGTCTGTTCCATTAGCTTTGGTCGAATTCTACCGATCAAGTTTCAACGTGGTCACTAGTCCAAATGATTGATCATCGCGCCGGGAAGCACTGGTTATTTCAAGATTACTAGTATACGTTGCTAAGGAATACCAACTAGCACGAAACTTAGAATTCATGGTTTCTTGTAATCTGTCCCCAACCACCTAACATCTCAGCATATTGCAGGCAGTAACGAGTCACTTTGATTACTGAGTATATCGCAACTTTATCAATATGAAAAGTACTGCACAAATATGGCATTAGTCACTATTCAGTGAGAAATCAATTTTACTGTTTTGATCAATGTTTAGACTTATATATAGCGTGGTATTTTGTATGTTTGAATGAACCTAGTGGTAAATGAACAGATTCATATCATTAAGGTATGTAAAAACAAACTATTATCACATTTTTTGGCTATAGTAGAGAAATAGGGTATAGAAAACAACAAAGTTTGAAATTAACAATTTTATTTACACTTTTTTTAGTGAATACATTCTTTAAAATGTTTCTTGTAACTATTAGTTTGTTCATCAGTTATTTCACTATTTATTTTATATGTTTCTTTAAAACGATCGATTTTACCGTTAATTGGTATTTGTAAAACGAACACTACAGGATTCTATAAACAGTTTTTTCTTCAAATTTGTGTATTATACTTTATTTTATATGGGAGAGAAATTTACTTTTGATGTAACTATTGTAAGTAATTTTTATTTAAATCTTTGTTGTTGTGAGAACTTATTGTATAATATTAAGATTATGGAGTAATTAGTTTCGTTGTATGTATTCAGTGTCCAGAATTCATTGTACTGTGGTCTACGCTACTTATATTCTCTTCATTACAACCTTCCGCTACCAGGCATTCCACTTCCGATTGGTGCTACTTACTACTTATATCTGCCAACATAAATAGCATTCACCACAGTACGACTACAGTTGCTCATGATAATTCAACCTCAACCATCTACTTGAGTAAGGAAACCAACAGCAAACAAAAAAATTTTATTAGGCAAACCGATTCTCGAAAATATTTACAACTCATTTATAAATATAGACATGTTCCTCAGAATGTGAAGCCACATTTTCAACCAATATCATGTTTTTATCTCCTTATAAAGTGAGACCAAATCTTGAGCATCAGGGTTCCATCATCAGCATCTTTCATATATCATTTGTTCTATATGCGATTGACTCAGTGTATCAATGTTGAAAATTCATATGAGTATGTAGTAATTCAAGATTTTCTTATGAATAATTCCTCGTATGTTTCTGCAAATCATAATTTACTATCAATAATTTAAAGGTAAATGTCAGCCGTTCATATTGGTTTGTTCCTCTTGAGAAATATATTATTTTTTATCATCTGTTACAAAAGCGAACAGTAGATTTTACCTTCTTGCTAACTTCTTATCTAACTGCGAATCTTAACTTTTATTCAATTTCTTTGCAACATTAATACTTCAGAATTCAGTCCTATTTTTGCGTGTCCATTCCATTGTGAAGCTGGATGTATCGTAACCTAAGCAGAAATAATTATTTATAATTCGATTCTTCTCTAGAAGATGACATCAATTATTTTCTAATAACCAAACTAGCGATAATTAAACTTAGTAGATCTAAGGCGGAAATAATATCATTTGCGTTTTGTTAATTATTTTGAATGGGTGTTTTTTATTTTCTTGTTCGAAAACAAATATTCATTTCTATGCTGGTACTTTTTTAGTTGCATATCAAAAAACGTTTCATGCTAACATATTCTTATTGTTTGTGTGTAATGTCTACATATACTATCAATATAAAAACACATTCTTTTTTAAACTGAAAAGGAATCAGCAACAATTAGTACTTCATTGATGTAAGTTAGATCAGCACTGAACAGTCATTTCATTCCAGTATGGGACTTTTCAGCAGCGCACATTCATGATGCCTCACGTGAGACACGAACCTAGGATTTTTTGTCTCACGCGCAAACATTTAGCCTCTAGACCGCTGAGTGGTTATTCAACGATGTTACTGTTTAACTTCAGTCAATCTACGATATTACACGATCACTTTTAATTATCTTCAGTGGTTAATTGTTTCACGGCTTCTCACTAGAACTCCGGACACCTCCTCACTAATTTGTCGTGATAATTCCCCGTATGGAGTTATGGAGATTGCCATGTATTAATTAACATTAGACATCAACACTGTAGTGAACAAGAACACCAGTGGGGACAATCAAATGTATTCAAGACAAAATTACAGGACTTGTTAATAAAATCTAACAATCATAAAGTAAATGGTTAATTAGCAAAATGTCCATCGATTGTCTCAAAATGACTCAGACTTCATTGTTCTTGCATTTTCATACAAATTGCATTTTCTTTCCCCTTTCATTACCCTATTTTGTGACATTTTTGATACTGTATATACACGCATGAGTTGTGTGCTTATGGGGTATGTATTTTTCCCCGTTGAATCTTGTCTATTCCATCTAGTTAGCAAGACTGTAGCGCAATAGATTAGCTTAGCTTGTCCTATTGTTGTGTTGTTGACTTTTGTTCCCTTTGCCGGTTTTGGTGATATCGTAATATCTTTAAATGTAACATGTATTAAGTTAATTGTATAGTAATTTTGTTTAAAAATAATGTGAATTAAAGACTTTTTCGCTGCAATAAATGAAGTTTAGTCTTCCATCTCCCATCATGACACTTAATACAAGTCTATACCGATCACCTGAATACAAGACAATGAAGATCATTAGAACTCAACTATTGTAGATCAAATAAACTCAGATATTCGAAGTTTGACTAATAATCAAGAACTAGATATATGCAGTCAACATAATATGAAATCACAGTAGAATCAGTTTTATGTATAAATGAATCTCCCATGTTTATCAAATAAATATATGAATGAAGAATATTCTTTGCAATAAATTCTTATCTATTTCTATAGTTTTAAATCCAATTTAACATACTTTTTTCTTTTGAAAAAAAAAGAGGGAATGATCTAGTCAAATACATTGTTTAAAATATTATTATTATTAATAATCTAATCAATGTTAAATATCAATTTGAGTGAAATCTGTGCAAATAATAATTGAGGATAAATAATTATTAATAATATTAGAATGAGAGTAATAATAATTATGTATCAGAAGGGGTTTTGTGGAGATTGTAGTAAGTTCAACAGTTGCGATCATGAGTCAATTGAAGCTAGACCGCGATGGAAAACCTGGAAGCGCTGGATGGCCGTTTCGTCCTATTGTGTGACTCCCCAGCAGTGCGCACCCACGACCCCGCCTCACGGGATTCGAACCCAGGATCTATCAGTCTCGCGTCAGGCACTTAACTAATTAGACCACTGAGTCGGCATCCAACGGTGTTAATGTCTAAATTCAATCAAATATTTCATTGAAGACTACCTAATATATGAAATGACATAAATTTAGTAACAAAGTAATATGATATTAAAGTTGAATAATAACCAAACTATTCACATGTTTAAAAGAATAATAATAATAATAATACGAAAATGAGAAAATTGTGTGCACTTGTATCCTTTAATTAGTAACTACATAATACAATTCATGTTAACACCAGCACACCAATCATTTCATATTGTATAATTTTCAACAATTTATTTACTTTAAATTGAACTATACTTTTTGGATCATTAATTTTAATGTATAACTGTGGAATCTGATAAGAATTTATTGAAAACAATATTTTACATTTATACATCTTATGATTTACCATGGTTGAATTGTTTTCAGTTGCAGTTTTTTTTAGAAACGAAAGAATGGACCGTTCAATAATTCGAAATTAAAATATATAATGAGTAGATTTTTATTAGACTAAAATGTCGACACTGTTTATTTACATATATTTCACATAGAAATAATTCATGCCTAAGATTCAAGTATCACGATTGTCAGTCAGGTTTTCGGGTTTGTACACTGTATCACAACTATGGACAACTATTCATCTCTAGCTTAAGAAAGGGGGGAAGTATTAAAACCTAACTCTCAAAATACCACACAGCTTTCCACATGGATTTTCGTTGCCGGTGGTAAAGCCTTTCATAATTTGGAGCTAATATATCGAGAATTTCTCACAGAAGATTGTATTTGATTGGTATCACGGAGTTATCCCTTTGGTTCTGCTGTCCCGTTCTCTGACCAACAGGACCACTAATAATCCAATTTCCTTTTTAGGTATCTCAATAATTGTCCATACAATATATGGACAACCTGGGAGTTAAAAATGCCGACTAATTTCAGCGTCTTCCTAGCAGATTGCAATTCGTCATAGTGTATCTTTAGGCTGTTAAATATAAAGTTTAAGATTAAAGTATATTCATAGATTACTATTGTCTGATCACAGATGCCTTCAAATCATTGGTTCTGTATGTTAGGACCACTGACTTAGTAATAGTAAACTTAAGCATAGGGTAGTAGGTAAGTATGGTGATTTCGTCTTCACCGATTGAGGTAGTCGGGATATGTACTTCATATAATCAACCATCACACACCTCGACAGACAATGTTGTCTGTTTTCGGAGTAGACTGGAAGAAAGCTAGAGGTAGCCAAACCAGGACATAG